GCGTAGGGGAGGTTTTGAAGATTTTCCGGCGAACCTTCTGGCGACTCTATCTCACTGCTCCGGCGACCTCACACAAAGATGACAGCACCACTGCACTCTACTCTCAGCAAGGAACAATATAGAAGGAAGAATGAATTGTTTTGGTGATGAAATGAGGGAGTTGGGTTGTCCTTAAATAGCCCAGGGAAGAAGAAGACACAGGTTTGCAGCTTCCGTGATTGAGCGACAATTTGGAATCGGCGTAATTGAACAGGGTGCCGTTTGGTGTGTAGTCCCTGATTGGGACTAATTTTGGTCCCAGTTAGGGTACACTTTTTGTTCCAACTTTCTCCAAATTGAAATCCGTTTGCACCGTTGCGATCAGACAGTCGAACTCTATCCAACGATATAATTTTTATATTCATTCGTTATACTTTTTCCGACACCACATTTTTGGGTGTTTGACTTTAACAGAGTAAAAATTGGTTTAATTGACCTTTCTCATAAAAGGTTCTCTCATTTAATTCATATCATTTGTTCTCATGATTTATTTCAATAAATCATTTTAAAGTTCATATTATAAACAATTTATTTATTTATTCTTGATTTGGGTCTGTACTCATGTTCTCAATCAAGACCACACAAATACTCAACATATTGGATTTATCTCTATGAGACTTATCCTGATTTGTGATATTGGATGTCAAAACACATTTCATTTCGGCCCAAAGCCCAATAACTATTTATTTTAATCGAAACAAATTTGACTAATTGAATATTTATTCATTAAAAATTTTAGGGTATGTTTTAGGGCGTTACAATCACTTAGAACTCGAATATCCTTTTTCAAAGGATCTCGTTAGGTTAGTCCTATGCAAAGTGTGTGTTTTGTTATACGTGCAATGCCTATGCCTACTAAAACACATGGGTGCTATATGACCTACCCTATGGCAATAATGGCATACTACATTAGGATTATGCATGAGTCTAGGTTGATAATAACTATTGGGAAGCCTGAACGTATTGTTCCTATTTTGTGAAAGATATGATTTATGCACATTTCAAAAATCATTTCTTCTAGGTGTTCTAAAATGCTCTCTTTCCTTCCTAGATTTCCTTCTAGGTTGTCTAGTGTTCCTAGTTTTACTAGGTTGTCTATTATCCTAATTTTTATCATTCCTAAGTTGAGCCTTAGGTTCTCTAGATGGTTGCTCAACTATACCATTATTTATATCTTTAATATATCCTAGTCCATTCTTAGAAAATTGCATGCTATCGTTAACAACATTTAAATCTTTATGAGGTGTATTAAGCTTGTTCAAGGTTCCTTCGAGTGTTGCAACTCGTTCTTTCAAGAAATTGCAGGATTCGCACTTGCTAGTGGAACATTCGGGATTGTCGGAAATTTGTTTGTCAAAGGCTTTCTTAACTTCTTCAAGTTTTTCAAAATCAATTTTGAGATTGGAGAGACGTTTCTTTAAAACTTTGTTTGTTTTTGAAATTCTCACAAATTTACCGTAAAGTTCGTCAAAGGCGTCTTGTAATTCTTCAAAAGAGTAGGGACTTGAAGAAGTGCTACATACCTCTTGTTCATTGAGAATCAAAGGAGATTCTTCTTCGTTACTTGCTTCACGTGCTATGAGGCAGAGGTTGGCGCGCTCGTTTTCTTCGCCATCCGAAGACTCATCGCCGGAATCTCCTCCCCATGAGATGTGTGCTCGGTTCTTCTTGAACCTCTTCTTCTCGTTCTTGGCATTTGGGCATTTTGGTTTTATATGCCCAACTTCTCCACACCCATAGCATTTGGGTGGTTCTCCTTGTTTCTTTCCTTTCTGTTCATACTCCTTGCGCATGAACTTATGGAATTTCTTAAGCACGACCCTGAACTCGTCTTCGTCACTCGAGTCCTCCACATCACGTTCTTGACTTGTGGACGCCTTGAGTGCAATCCCATTCTTCTTTTGTTTACCTAAAGAGGGGTAAAGAATGGTAGACTCATAGGTTTTGAGGTTACCTCTAAGCCCGTCAATGGTGACATTAGTGATGCCGATGGATTCTTGGATAACATCAGCTTTAGAGCGCCATTCTGGTGTGAGACTCCGTAGGATTTTTCTCACAAGCTCCTTGTCCGTGTATGTCTTCTTGAGAGCATGAAGATCGTTTACAATTTTTGAAAATTGTTTAAACATATCGTCGATTTTCTCGTTTTCCTTCATACAAAATAGTTCATACTCATGGGTTAGAAAATCTATCTTAGCTTCTCGGACTTGATCCGTACCTTCATATGTGACTTCTAGCTTGTCCCACATTTGCTTGGCGGTGGAACAACATGAAATCCTCCGTTAGTCATCTGGATTTACTGCACAATAGAGAATGTTTATAGCCTTGGCGTTGTTTTCTATCTTCTTGATATCCTGCTCATCATACTCATCTTTGGTTTTGTGCACGGTGGTTTCCCCAACTTTCTTTGTTTTCTATCTTGGCGTTGTTTTCTATCTTCAAGTGAAAAAACACTTAAACACTCAAGAATAAAACTCTCACAAAGAGTAGATATGAGTGAACTAGTAAACGCTCAAAACACGACAATTTATTCAAAACTTAGCTCTCAAATAGCTAAAAAATAGAAATGCTTATGCAATGTAAGAGTATTGAAATGTTGAAGAATTGTGTGTAAAATGAGAGGATTTGGGTGCCATTTTATAACCTAAAATGGGATAAACCCGTTGCAAAATTTCTAACAGGATCAAGACAAAATTTTCAGAGTTGTAGAGTGATAATCGATTGTCAAACAAAGATAATCGATTGTCAGAAGATTCTTTGTCCAAAAATTTAAAATTCTATCCGTTGGGGGGCAACGGTCACACTGATAGTCGATTGTCAAGTGCTGTCATTCGACTATCAATCAAGTGACAATAAATGTCAGTCGATTATTGGGTGGTTCTGAACTTAATGTTCAGAAACTATAGCAGCCTGCAGTCGATTATTGCCATATGACAATCGATTATCAGCTGGTTAAAACCATCCTGCAAGAAACTTAACCCGAAATGCCGAGGTCCAAAAACGAAGTGTTCCCAAAAGTAAAAACCAAGTTTGAGAAAAATTGTATATGGTGCAAAATAGTGAAACCAAGACTTGTTTGATAAAAACCATGTCTTCGAGGTCGTTTGTCACGTGTTTACGATTTTGATCGTTTTTCACATGTTAGACCGAGAGACCAAAATACAAAATTGTTTTTATAAAATAATTATTTGGGAAACCCGAACCCCGAATGCCGATGCCAAACGCCGAACGCCGACCGAGGTGGTTTTTGGTCTGGGCAAGGACCAGGGATTTTAATACTAAAACTTTATTAAAAACGTTTATTTTGATGCACAAAAACGTTTTATGATTTTGTAAAATTATTTTGACTCTTTGAGAACCGAGACTTGAATTGATTGTCGGTTAGAACACACTAAAACCGACTCGACTAAGTCTTCAATTCTTGATCTTTGTCCTTGAGTCTTTTGGTCTTTTTCCATGCCATTCTTCACGCCTTGAGTTGTTCAACGAAAACTCTTCATATTCACAGCGGTTTGGCAATTATCAAAACCTGTTAGAAATGAACACGACTTTAGTTTAACGTAATAAAAAGTGTGTTCCAACAGAACTAAAAATTATAAACATATCTTTATAACAATGTTTGCTAGAGTGCATGAATTTTGTAAAGTGAGATTTAGATGCAAGCTAGGGGCTTGATTTTTACTGGTGTGTATTTCAAGTAAAGCTTATATTTATTTCATAGATCTTTTGGTTTAATGGGATTCGATCTTGTGAAGTATGATATGCATGTGAAGGATTATTAAAAGTCTATCAGAATTCTGTGGTTTTGCTTCACAAAAAAATTAGATCTATATTTTTTGTTGATGAATAAAATATTTTGTTTTGGAAAGATCTAGTTTCCCACACTTTTAGATCTAGGTTTTCGTGTGGCTAAATAATCTATTAGATCTGTGGATTTCTTCCTATTTTCTGTTAAAGAATAAAATGTTATTTTTGTAAAGAAAAAACTAAATTTTAACATAGGTTACTATTTTCGGTC